TATATAATATATATATATATATATATATATATATATATATATATATATATATATATATATATATATATATATATATAATATATATCGGAATAAATTTAAAATGCTCAATAATCGAAATTTTAGTGTACTCTAACCTTGAAATAGCAAACGGTCGAATTATCTTCCTCTCTGGTTTTTGGTGTCGCATTGATTGTCGTCCTAAGGCAAAAGCAAAATGTCATCGTCTAATGGGAAAAGTATCGAAGAAAAATCAAAAGAAGAAAATATGAAGATTGAAAAGAAGCAAATAATTACAAAGGTCAATGACCATGCCAATTTTAACTTTCCTTTTCCTTTCTTAATTCCTCTCGTCCTTTTCTTATTTTTAAAGGATACGTCAATTCCTCGAGATATCTCGAAAGTTACTGAAATCAGATAAGTCCTTCAACTCCATACTTATCAAATTTCTGCAATTTTTCCTCAATTTGCACATATTTTCATCACCAGTGCCATACTGATTTCAGGATCCAGAACAAATGACGAAATTCGGCGAATCGTTATCAACGTGTTCGGACGTAGAATGGGATAGAGCTGATCCAGCTTATGCATCTGAACTTATCAATGTGAAGAAAAAGCCTGTATCTTTTAATTTGTTCTCAGTCTATCACTCTCTATCATCTACCCAGAAAAGCTGAAACTTTGAAATGAAGGAAAAACAAGGGAATAAAAACTTGAAATTGAGGAAATGTGACATTTTGTAACTGATCTCAATATCCAATTCAACAAGAGAAAATTTCATAAGTTAACAATCGTCTATTGCTAATTAAAGTACTGATCAGAAGAAAACAAATTAATTAACAATAAAATGGCAATCTCTTCGAACTATCCAAAAGATTATTGATTCTGTGATGAAACTATTGAAGAATTTACCTCTAAATTTCAAATCATGACACTTCTTCGAATGGCTTTCAGGATAAGGTGACAGTTTTTGCTGGACCGAGTGCGAAAACGATTGAACGGACAATCATCCGAACTGATATTCTTTCCGAAAGTCTTGGTACGAATGATGTGTGTATGTGTGTGTGTGTGTGTGTGTGTGTGTGTGTGTGTGTGTGTGTGTGTGTGTGTGTGTGT